CATCCTGTCAGGTCACCATCTCCGTGCTATCAGATGCTACAGAGCCTTGGAGGGAGAGAGACCAGCTTAACTCCCCTGGGGAGACATCTAGAACGAGGACTGTAGAGCATGAGGACCAGCTGCAGGGATGTGGGGGCGAGGGACAAAGGCAGAGTCAAAGAAGGTGACGAGAGAGCCCGCTTGCTCCTCTGCCACCTTCTATATTACAAAGAGTGAATAAGCTTTGCGTACAGTGCTCTGAGCACAATACCTCTTGAGAGGATCGGCCAGGTGGCCTCATACTTCGCCTCTTTGGGGCATTTGATTCTGTCCCTGTTTCTGTGCCTTAAACTAGGTAAATTAGCAGCTATCCGTTACCCAAAGCATGCTAATTTTATGAAGAAAAAGGAGGATGTGTGGTCCCAGTTCTAGAGATTGGAGGGCGTGGTTTCAGCAATGGCTGGGTCTTAGAGGACCTGATGGCAGAATTCAGGAGCCTAGGTGGGAGAGGTGACATCAACAAATAAGAAGACAGTGGGAGATGCAGGGTCTCACAGTCCCATCTGAAGGAGATCCTCTGAACATGATCACTCTATTAGAATCACTATCCCAGAGCACGAAACTTCTAGAACAAGCCACCTCCAGCCCACAGCACCTGTGCTCTCAGATATTCTTAAGCAGCGCTGACCTACATACATTCACTTAATGCTTCACTCAGATGCCGAAGAGCAAGATTCTTGTTCTCAGCCCAAAGAACAATAAATATCTACTCTATGTGACCCAAGATGCATGTGAGGTAAATGGCAGTGGGTTTCTTGATCCTTGTGTTATACGTTTATTCTGCTTTTTTTTTTCTTTTTTTAAATTTTCCAAACCAAGATGGTGAAAGTCATGGATGTCACAGTGACATTTCTCTGAATACTGCTGTGAGAATCCTAAGTTCCTTCCTTTCTGTTTCAGAAGGAGAAACATTACCATCCTTAATCCTTATTCCTCCCACAACCATGACCGCTTCCACGTTACAAGTTATTCTTAGTGTCTTAATTCAGTTAAATATGTTTGCACACAAAACCTTTACATGTGGTGTGTCCTGAAGACAAGATGACAAGAAAATAGAATTTGACTGAATAGCAAAACAGAGTCCAGAAACTAAAAATAGAAATTGAGATTATGACAAGAAACGAAAGTTTTCTGGGGTGTGGTGGAACTCTACTACGGAGACACTGGCAGTCCTGAGAAGACTGTGAGGATAGGGTCAGGCTTGGCAGCACCCATCCCTCTTACTACACATTAGTAGTAAGAGGGAGTCTTTGGTCACATGCTACCATCTCTGTCTTCCCATCCCCACCCCAAAACCTTTCCAATTGCACCAGATCCCCATGCTCTCTCTTCTCTAACCTACCTGTCTCCTCTCTTATGGACTAACTGACCCAACGTCATGCTTTCTCCCATGGCCTACTCTTGACAGCTGTTGTCATCAGACACAGGCAGGACCTCACACCACCTTCCACTGGGGTGTCTCAGTGAGTCTCTGCGTGCACGCCTCATGCAGTCATTTTTCCTTTGGTTGTCAGTGCCAAGAAGAAATCCTGGAAAAGGAAAGACTAAGCAGATTATCTAATGATGAGATTCTGCACAGACTTCCGGAATTCTGACACTAGAAAGGATGTGAAATTTCCAGTACAAAGGTCTCATCTGACATGCAAATGTTTGCTACAGTATATAATCTGTGTGTGTGGGGGGGAGATGACGGAGGGAAGGAGAGAGAGAGAGAAAGAGAAAGAGAGAGAGAGAGAGAGAGAGAGAGAGAGAGAATAGGTCTTACACTATTTACCCTGTTTAAAAAAAAAACAAAATTCTAATAATGGATAATTCATGGATAGCCTGTTGTCATATTTTGTAGTTTGAGTTTGATGCGACCCTAGCATACTTATATGTTTAGATATGTGGTTTCCAGCTGGTGGCAGTATTTAAGAAGTTATAGACCCTTTGGGCCATGTGCCCCATATGGTGAGTTTAGACCACTGGAGATGAAGGCTCTAGCTGAGGCCCACTCTGGCTAGAGCTTGCCGTTTCCCGATCCACCACGATGCAAGGGGCTGTGGCCACCCATGTCCTCGCCAGTCTTTCCCACAGTGAAGACTTCATAGTCTGAGGCATAACCCACAATAATCCCTCCCCCACCGACGTTGCTTCTGTCAGGTTTTGTTTATAGTGATGAGAATAGTTAGAGAAGCTATTCTGTAGTTTTGCCCGTTTGTTGAGGCCAGTGGGCTACAGATCAAACCGCGAGTCTGTTTCTTCAGTGTTGATGTAGAGATGTGCAAATTCAGTCTGGAGTAAGACATGGTGTTGTTTGGAAGGGATGAGAAGCTGGTTGTGTAGTGAAATAGTTGGCTTTTTTGGTGAGCACCTGTGTGGAGTTACTATTGAATGTCTGAGGGAGCCTAGCTAGGTCTATGCTAAAGATGATGAGTTTTTTTTCCAGTTGGAGGAAGGTGAAGCCTCCTGCTCAGATTAGCCCCAAATTCTCCAGCTTACCTGATGAGCTTTTCATTCCATGTTCTCTATATAGAAGTCCGCATTGTCATCTAGGGCTATGAAAGCATTTTCAGGAAGTTTTAGGGTTCTAAATGGAGTATAATACTTCATCCTCTTTTGAGTTTTATCCATTTTATTTTGCCTTTGATTGACATGTATTAATTGTACATGTAAATGTATTCAACCACTTCTTATATGTTTTATTTTCTCTTAATTAGGATGTATTAGTTGTATATATTGATGTAATACAATCTGATCTTTCAATACTGGATGCAATATATTTTTATTTCAAACCTAATTTCAATAAAGACTTCTTACTGAGCTTAAGAAAAAAGATCTCTATAATAAAGACCTCTATAATAAAGCAAATTTATTATAGGAAGTACCAATTCAGTTGGCATGTGTGAAACTGAAGAGGATTGGATTTCCTTTTGGCTTTCTTTGAAAGGCAAGCTCAGCAGTGCACGTACACTGCCCTTCATTGATAGAGAAAACACAGCACATGTGATATTTGATGATCTTACACCTGCACAGAGCATGCTTGGTTCAAGCGAAAGAATATATGCCGGACATAGTGTTGCCCACAGGAGGCAGAGGCAGGCGGATGTCTGTCTTCAAGGCTAGTCTACATAGGGAGTTTCAGGTCATCCAAGGTTGTATAGTGAAGCCTATTTGAAAAGGGAAGGAAGGGGGAGGAAGATGAGCAGAAGGAAGGAAGTTAGTAATTTCTTTTAGAAATTGTAAAAATTAGGCTAGAGAGATGGCTCATTGGTTAAGAGCACTAGCTACTCTTGCAGAGGACTCTATTTTGATACCCAACTCCCATACGATGCCCCACAACTGTCTGTAACTTTAATCCAGGGAATCTGATGCCTCTTTTGGCTTCCCTGGGTACCAGACATCCATATAGTATGTATACAACCGTGCAGGCAAAACCCTCATACACATAAAATAAATAAATGCGTAAAAAGACTCAGCACAAACAATAGAAAGAGCTGGAGCTCATCCATGTGGAAAAACTTAACCATTTATTAGCATCATTGATTAGAAAACGACACGCCAAAATGACTTTCTTAATATGTCACATTTTTGACCGTTCTTAACAAATCATATTTTGCACACTTTCCAATTATGTAATCAGGAACTTTCAGGCTACATAGTAGAAATTAGTATTAAAAATAAGCCATTCCAAATTTTAACAAGCACCATGAAGTTTCCTTTCAAAGTAAGTCTTTAGTTACCAAGCTTTGAAAAACTCAAATCGCCCATAAATGAAGCCTGACAGAAATAAACTTCACAGAAATTCTACTATATAATATTTGGCTTTTAGGTCTGAGCTGTAGAACTCTGACCAAGTTCAATATTTGCTCCCATAATACTGGCGCTGAGAAATTATTCGTGCCAAGTCTGATGTGAATTGAAATATTTGCTCATTTGATTGACCTCACTAGCATGTTATCACACATTTGGAATTTCAATAATTCCATAATTTTGATAGGGTTGAGAGGCAGCTAAAATATAAATTTCTAAAAACTGTGTCAGGATTTAGTGCAATCTGCATTTTGAATCAACATAGAGATCCTGTGGCTAATGCGGTGTCAGATTTGCTTACATGCTCACATGTGACAAGGGTGGGTTCTAAGCAACAGAAGCTTGTCTGGGGAAACTGTACGTTCAGTCCTGAAAACTCTTTTCTCCCTCTCTCCCTCCCTCCCTTCCCCCTTTAAAGTTTTGTTTTATGTGTATGGGTGTTTTTTCCTGCATGTGTGTTTGTGCACCACATGGGTGCAGCACCCGTGAAGGCAGAAGAGGGCATCGGGTCCCCAGACAAATGATTGTGAGTGGCCATGTGGGTGCTAAGAATTGAACCCAGATCCTCTGGAAGAGTAACCAGTGCTCTTAACTGCTGAGCCAGCTCTCCAGCTTCCTTTATGAGCAGGAACATTACCACCCTTCAGTCTTTACTCCTCCCATAACTGTGATCACCTGATTCATGGTGCACTTGGCTTCAATTATATATGCTTGCAGGTAAAACCTGTCCTACTAAGCTGTCCTGAAAACAAGATGACAAGACACATTCTATGTTCAGAAGAACTTAAAATTTAACTAGCACCAAAGTAACTAATTAAAAGTTCAAATTATGATACAGATAAAACTGTCGTAGGTCATAAGGAAAATGCCACTTCAGAGATCTGGGAAGTCTTGAGGATTCCAAGAAGATAGAATGAGGCAGCAAGATGGAGTCTTTGATCTCACTTTATCATTTCTGAGTTTCTTCCCAGCCCAGCTTCTCAACCCGGCAATATGCTAACGGTTGTTCAGATCCCTTGTCTCCCTCCTACTTACCCAACCTTGAAGTGTGCATGAATATTAGATGTCTCTGTATATATTATGTAATTGCATGGCTTTATATCTACCCTCAAGTGTGTAAACCTGTCATGGTTGACTGCGGCTATCCACGCTTCTCTGTCTTTGAACAGGTTGTTTGGAATCAAATCCGTTATCCAAACGGACTGCTCCAGCACCTGGAAGATCATAGTGAACCCAGAGCTGTCCTGGTATCACCATGCCAACCCCATCCTCCTGCTGGTGATGTACTACACGCTGGCCACGCTGATCCGCATCTGGCTGCAAGAGCCCCTTGTAAGGACCTGGAAACATTTCCTAATCTTATCTGCACTGTACCTGGAATGTCTGGGAGATGTGGTTGTCCCTCCCGAGCATCTACTCAGCGCTATTTCAGCAGCACCGTAGTTTTCCTAGTGTTGATATAATTCTACAAGTATTGAGTGAGTGCAAATGCAGCCTGCACAGATGCCAGCTCCCTGTCAAAAGCACCAGTGTGTGTGTGTTGCTACAAATGGCAGCTGGTAACAATAATGACAGATTAATTTTTATTTGACACTCCCTAAGCCAGGAGGCAGTGTGCTGGCTGCTTTTGTGTATCCTTCTTTCCACCCTTAAATAGCTAAAGCATGTGTATTGTGCTTGTCTCATAGGTGAAGGGAACTAAGAGAAATAAGCGTTCTGACGTCACATGCTTACTGGATGGTACAGATTGAGTTCATGCCTAAATTTGACAGCACAGTTAGTCTTAGAGACCATACAACCCTGTATTCCAATGTTCTCTGACACCTCTGGCCTCTGAGGATTGAAGCCATCATAGAAGTTCAACTTTCACTGGTACCCATGACTTCCATTGTGAGGCATGGAGATTAGGACTTTCCCCTCAAGCAGCATGGAACACTAGCTTTTTCCCTATAGGTATACTAACAAGAGCTTGACACTTGGGACAGGAAGATCAATACATATGTGGTTTCCCCTTTCTTCTCTGTCCGCGGTCCTTTGCTGTCTCCTTGATGTGACATCTGTTTTAAGGCAGGCAGGGAATTGGTGCTTGAAAAAGGCGCCTTTCTCCTTTCTACCTGCAGCGGGCACTGCACAGGTATGACAAACCCAGACGGAGATGCAGCTGCATCTAAATTGCTGCTAGCCTTGGGCCTGGGAGCAGTTTTCATTTTTCTCTTTCCTGCTCTTACTCTCATTGAATGTGCTAGGATTACTAGGGTTACCGGTTTCAGGAGACACATCGTGAGGGTCAGATGTGTATTGGGCTAACTTATAGACCAATATGACATAACAGTAGACAAGACACAGCCACTGAAACTTGGTGTTCTACAAGATAAACAAAGAAGCAAACCAAAATACAGCTCCCCCCAAAGTAACTGCAATCCAAATTAAACGGTGTCAAGGAAACTGGATGAGGCACATGCCTCCTTCTATCCCTGGCAGAATTGCCACCTGCAGTAGTTAAGACCAGGTTCTCAGGTCTCATCCTTGTTAGTTCCATTTGCATGGATGTCTTCATGTTGGGGCCCAAATAATGAAAACAAAGCAATGGATAGTTTTTGAGAGGTCAAAAAAAAAAAGGAATCATCTTGAGTTACAACTTTATCCCATTCTTTTTTTAAATTGATTATTCTAATAAAAGTCTTTAAGATTGTATTGTTAGCCTCCTCCATAAACACATGATCATGTGTATACATATGTGTTATATCTATGACATATATGTATATATATATATATCATCAATAGAATTTTCACACAAAACTTAAAATGTGTGAAGGGAGGAAACTATCTTTGAATAACGTCATGTACATTACAGGAATTAAGATCTTCAAGTTATTAAGATTTCCCAGTGTGTTTATCTCTTCCCATTGCATTTCATGTAGCTATCCAGGTAATACAGTAGCTTAGTGACAGGTTTGTGTGATTCTCTGGTGTTAATATCATGGACCATCTCTGGAGCTGGGGAGACAGAGAAAGCTGTGAAGGCAATGGTCTGAGCTGTAGGCTCTGCAGGCAACAATAGTGTTCAAACCAATGTCTGTGGGGCAAGTGGAACACAGCCCTTAGAACAAGTGTCAAGCATCACAATCTGCCATTTAAGTGGGATGAGGCAGAAAAGCTTCTTGTTGAGGCCATGTGAGAAAACAAGAGACAAAAATAGCAGTTTCAGAACGCTCTGGCACATTTGGTGAAGAATGCCAGCCATCATATGTGAGCTCTGAGGTGAAAGTCTACCAAACCTGTAAGAAAGGGGTGGGCAGGAAGAGGAGGAGGAGGAGAGCGTATCAGGAGGTAAATATCCGAATGATGCTCCCCATCGCACAATGGGGTTGCTTCCCAGTGAAGTCATCCTAACTTGAAAATACTCTGGTCACAAATGCATTAATAATGCACCTGGCCTGCTGTCCATCACAGCCTAACATGGACTACTCAGACCACAGAGCCTGAAGTTGCAGAAGTCATATATTGCAAAGACTGCATTATAATGTTGTATCATTTCTTATAGCACAGTGAGTGTTGAAAGTGATCAACAGTACAGTCGCATGAATGTTCACCTCTAGCTGCAGGTATTGTAAGTCTAAGTACCATTCTTACTGGATGCGTTATCACTTATGATCTTTGTGAAGTGAAAAATGACTAGGTTGTCTCACCACAAGTTGGAGCTATGTGTATGTGGCTGGCTCTGGCCTCTGGAAGGTAAGATGCTTTCCTTGGGTGCTCTGCTGCACATTGAACCCCACGATTGGGCAGTGAGCTCAGATCCAAACCTTCTACTCCAATATGAGTTACACAGCAATTCCCTCTTTACAGGAACACCTTTGCTTGAAAGACTCCCTAGTCTGCTCAATCCTTCTGTTCCCATTACTCTGTGAGTGCTCCAGATGAATCAATCTTTACTAAATAAAGGACTGGACATGTGACACATGTCTGTGATCCTAGCATCTGTAGCCTGAGTCACAGGAATTGTAAGTTTAAGGCCAATCTGAGCTAGAGAGCAAAATTCTGGGTTTAAAAAGATTTTAATGGGAGATTCACCTGTGAGTGGCTTACACCATTAACTGTGTACTCTTTTCGAAGTGCTTGCCCTAAGAACCAGCTGCATTGCTTCTTTATGGCGCAGGTTAGAATACACATGGAGAGTCATGGGTATTTCACGTCTGTAACATGTGAAGCTTTAGCAGAACCAGACAACAATCCATAGTGATGGCCCTATGAAAGACATGACAGTGTTTTGTCATCACTTGTAGGAGAGTGTTGATCAAAATCCCATCTATGTCATACGCTCACTCTGAACACATGAGGCAAAGAGCCGCGGTGTGTGGATCTGCCTTGGGAAGCAGAGCTGCTCCCATGATTCTGTCTTTCAGGTGCAGGATGAGATGGCAAAGGAAGACGAGGGCGCCCTGGACTGCAGCTCTACTCAGAACACGGCAGAGAGGAGGCGGAGCCTGTGGTATGCCACCCAGTACCCAACAGATGAGAGAAAAGTAAGGCACAGAGCAAGAGTGCTCGGCTTCCATTTAGTTTTCTGCGTCTGTGTTCTGCTGTTGAATGTGGGGTTCAATACCAGTGGTCAGCTCACTTATAGAAATAATATGTCTTAGGCAGCCATTTCCAAAACCCTCTGTCAAAGTCAAACCTGGGGCTTCTAAAGGAAGTAGTGACCCCATCAGACCCCAGAAGAGAACAATTTTATATATCCATCACTTTGACTGAAATATATTAATCCTAAAAAGAAATTTTGATTTTTTTAAAAAAAATTAAAATAGTTAAAACAAAGTAAGCAAACTGTTGGCACTGAGAGATGGTAGCTTATACTACAGCAGAGTTGTTCCGTGTGTCAAGTAGTTGGTCACTGTGGTAACTCCATAACCATCTGGGGACGGCCCAGCCTCTGCCTGCATGTGGTTATGGGCCTCTTGGATTTTTAGGCACTGGCAGGGTGAGTGTGTTGGTTCATATAATTCCTGTAATGTGTAAGTTATATGTCATATATCACTAGTACCAGTCAGCTTGAATTCATTCTAGCTGGTGCTAGACCAAATTAAGAGCCTGTTTGCAAACTCATCAAGATATATATTCTTGTTTTGAATGGGCCTGGCAAGTTAGTCCCAGAATTTTAGAGAACCCAGAAGGAAACTCCGACAGAAGAATTTCTTCAAGGCAGACGAGTTTCTTCAAGGCACACAGCCCTGCTCTCACTGCCGGTGTCTTGTGAGGGAGGACAGCACCATCGGGCGGATGGGATGCTTCCGCAGGGCTGGTGGAATGCAACGTGGCACAGGTGTGGTGCACCATGGGACGGGCGTCATGCCTGAGATACCTAAAGGGTTGCTCTTGTCTCCCTGGTGTTGTCAGGCCTATTTCACCAAATAGTAAGAGAGAATAGTGAGAGCAGGTGCAAACTAAGTCCCATAGTGTGCTGAGGGTCCCAAGACCCTGTCAAGAGAGAAAAGGTCACAATTATTTCTGGTCATATGTTGATCTCTGTGTAATGGCTAAAACGCCACGGTGCCAGACTGCAAATCAAAGCCAAAACCCCCAATATAGCAGTGATTGTAGAGCCACCACCGCCACCACCTCCACCACCACTGATGCTGGGTATACACAGAAAACAAAATAAAAGCCATTTCTCCTAAGAACCTTCATGAAGAACCAGGAACAAAAGCCAAACATGGCATGAGGATAGCCCACACAGTGAACATTGGCCCAATAAGATGACAATGACGTCAGAAATTCTTCCGGCCTGTGATGTGGTATCACAGTATCAGAGCCCAAAACGTGGTTCATATGGTAAAATCACCCTGTTGAAATAGCTCTAGTGCAGCCTAAGTGTGTAGCGTGTATAGATTCCACTAGAGGTGCAACCGCATGCTAGGCCGCCACATCCATTTATTGTTCGTTGCTGACTTCCTCAGAGCCGTCTCTAGCCCTCCAAGCTTCATCCACAGCAAGCTGCCCCTTTGAAGTGGATTGTTCTTACCTTTTCTATCATATTTTTATAGCACCTAATTTTAGGTATATATATCTATGATCTTTGTGCTTCCTCTGGGGCTAGTCTGCAGTGTGGTAGCCTGCCATCAAGTTTGTAGCTTGGGCGTGGTAACCTGTGCCCGATCTCATGGTAATGGAACAGGCTGTACCTTTGAGATTAGTGTCATGAAGGTATCACACGGAAGTGAGGTTGCCTAATGATGCGGTCCTCACAGTACGCCCAGGCATGACGCAGCACACGCCTGTGTTCGTTTTCTCTGATATTAACTTGGAATTACATGCTTTTTAAACACTCTGCATGACGGAGCAGGACTTCTGAATAGCATGCCATGTCCAAAATCTGGGCAAAGTCCTGATGAGAAGTACAGAGTGTTCTAGAGTCACGGGAGGACAAGGATCCCTGTGTCCGTAAAAGTGTTTATAATCTTATGGCTTATGATTGCTTATTTGTTTGTATAACTGAACGGCAGAGTTGGGAAATGGTTAAATAAGCGATGACTTCCAGATCAGTGCTCTGTTGTGTTTTGCATGGCCTTCTAACATACTAGCGTCCCGCTAGGGAGAGGTTGGGTTTACATATAGGAACATGTACAAATGAAGATATGCTTTCAACTGCTTTGAGCTTACCATTAACACGCTGTCCCACCTTGCCTTTTGCAGCTTTTATCCATGACCCAAGATGACTACAAACCATCTGATGTTAGTATATCCTTAGAATTGTCATTTATGCTTATGTAAGTGACTTCGAAGCGGCAAGTGGAGTTAGAGCCTCTAATTATATTTGAGCTACCTGTAAATTTCCATAAACTTTTCAATTTTTTTTCCAGAAACCATATCGGATTTATTACTCTAAAAATTCTGACGCATGTGATATGATAGACTGATTAGAATATGCAAAACGTATTTATACCTCGAAAAAGCCCTATTTGGAGCATTGTTGTTTTGTGTGTAGGCATATGTGTGTGCATATGTGTACCTGTTTGTGTATCTGGGAGTGCACACATATGTGTAGGTGCATATGTGTGTGTAGGTAAATGTGCATGTGTGTGTACGAGTATGGAAGCCAGAGGACAACCTTGGGTGCCATTCCTCAGGAGCTGTCCCCCAACTGCTGTTTTCTAAAGCAGTGTTCTCACTGACCTGGACCTTTCTTTAGTCTCTGTAGTCTCTGTCAACTGGTCAGTGAGTTGTTTTTTTTTTTTTTGTCTCCCTAGCTCTGAGACTACAAAGACTACAATACTACAAAGACTACCATGCCTGCCTTTCTTTGCGTAGATTGTGGAATCAAATTCAGGTCCCTGTTCTTGACAAGCAGGCACCGTACTGACCAAGTTAGCATTCCTAGCCCTATTGACTTGCCTGACTTTAAAACATCCCCATCCATAGTTGTGCTAATTATTACATAAATGGGAGGTATTGCCTATCTGTTTATTTATATTTATCTCAAATACATAATCTAGAGAAATGGGAGGAAAAGAATGCCCAAGTATTTGCACTTAATGTACCGTAGCCCTGCAGCTGGAATGTCTCACCCGAGACCTGAAGAACATTTGCTTAGCCCTGTGTAAAGCAAGTGGGGTCTGGAACAAGATGAGGGTGGAGCCCCGGGGAAGGTATGGAGCACTACATAGCCAGATGGTTGGAAGATTGCCATAGAGAGAGTAGACCTCAGTCAGGGTGGGCTCCACAAGCCTTTTACAGGAGTTTGCATTATAGTGAGGTCAAAGACTGTCCCCTGGTTTGTGGCAGAAGGACAGAAAGATTGGGGATGCATTTTACTCTACTAGTCTGTGGAGCACACAGGGTCCATCTTGATAAAAATATTTGGAGATTTATCAAATGGTTCAGCCACTAATCAGCTTTTCATCCTGGGTTATGTGTGGAGGAAGGCAGAGGAGTGACTGCCGAGAGGCCAGACCGTAATCACTGCTGTCCTCTTTCCTGCTCCTCCGGCAGGGCCTGCTGGTGACCGTGAATGGCAACCCTGTGGACTACCACACCATCCACCCCAGCCTACCCCTAGAGAATGGTCCTGCCAAGACTGAGCTGTATACTACTCCCCAGTACCGATGGGAGCCCTCGGAGGAATCCTCAGGTAAGGCCTCCAGGGGAGTGAACAGACTCGCTCAGGGCTGGGCTCCACTCTCTATCATTTGTAAAGTTGCCGCCACTTCCTGTTGTTTCCTGTGTAATTTGGTTCTCTGCTTCCCAGCAGCCTCTGTTTTTAAGCAGGGATATTGCCATCCATGACCTGGAACATCAAGCCTGTTTTCTTAGTGCTCCGTTTACACCAGTACACTTTGATTCACGTGTGACTCTTGCACACAAAATAAGTGGCAGGAGGGACGGGGGACCTTGAAAAATAAAATGTGAGAAAAAAAAAAAGAATTTGAGCCTGCTAACATTTGTGAAACAGGTTCTTGCTGAGCAGCCCTGCCTGGCCTGCATACACATCGGGCTGGCCTCAGACTTGAGTAATTCCCTTGCCTGCATTTCCCACATGCTGTGATTGCAAACATGAGAAACTTCACCTGGCAACATGTTAACTTTTTATGGCATTCAACCTATGTGTAAGTGTTTTATACACACACACACACACACCTACATACATATGTGTGGGGGGGATGTATCTATCCATATGCTGGTTTTTCTATTAGCTAATGTGAAGACTGAAAGTTTTTCTAGTTAATCTTTTAGAATATTTTTAAAGAAGATGCTTTTTTTAACTACACTAAAAATAAGAGAAGGCTGGATGATTTACCCCCACCCCTGGTGAGGGGAGCCATAGCATCAAACAGGGAGCCTCAGAACATTGGCACGGTACCCAGTAACAGACACTTTTAAAGGTAGGGGGCAGAGGAAGGGGACAATCATTGCTGACGGCAGTGAGAGGAGGAGAGACCAGGGGAAACAACCCCCCTTATTAACCACCAGCGCAGTGGTAAGAGGCCATTCAGAGACAAACCCTGCTCTTCTGGCTGCTGATGCTCTCTCTCTCTAGCAGCCCAGAGCAGATGTCGTGGAACTACATGCTGAAACCCAGGAAGCAGAATATCTCTAGACCGCAGAGAAGAACTTTTAAATCCAAACCATACAGTATTCAGGACGGGAGATACCTAGTCAGAGTCGGAGTCTCTCAGGGGATACAAAGTCAGGTTCAGGAGTGTGTGGCTCACTTTAGGAAGGACCACACAGAGGAGGGGCCAACACTACGGTTAAACCTATGAAGGTCCTGGCAGAGAAGTGACTGCCATTCCACACCACACACTCATTCTCTCTCTCTCTCTCTCTCTCTCTCTCTCTCTCTTTCTCTCTCTTACACACACACACACACACACATACACACACACACACATACACACACACATGCACACACGCACACACATATACACACACACCATACCAAGGTCTTGGCATGCTGGTAATTCTCAGATCCATTTGTTGTATCTTTTCTTGCTGGGCATGATTCATGAATTTTACTTTAAACCTTAGTCTCGTCCAACCATAATGTTGCAGAATTTAGAGACACTGGATTGTTGCCCCAAAACCTGACTGCAGCCAGTGCAGAAGAAACTGAGTCATCACTGTTCTGTGAATGGTTTGTTCTGCCTCACGTGGTATAGCTGTTATACCTTATTAAAAGTCAAAAGGAGCTGATGTAGATCAATATTCAGTACTATACAGTCTCTCTGGGTCAGGTGTCTGGTGTCACAAGGCCGGATCCTCTGGCTTAAGGTCCATCATCTAGTTCTGGTCATTCTTAAGGCTGAGGCTACCTTCTCATCTGGAGGCTTGACTGGGGCAGAATCTTCCTCTAACCCTGCTTTTCAGCTGCTGCTGACCCGAGACTTGCCAACTGATGGCCAGCTGGACACGTCAGGTCCTGACTGCCTCAGTCCCTGCATTGGGAAGTTACAACACCGTAGCTGGTTTCTCTCTAAAAGCAAGACAGTGGTTGGTCGAGAGAAGATTCCAGGAGTGAACGCCACATTCCTTTCCAACTGAATCTGGTTGGGCTGAGAATGTAGCTCAGTGACAGACATTTTTCTAGCTTACATGGAGCCTTAGGTCCATTCCCCAACACCAAAACAAACAAAAAACAAAATAGAAAACCTGATTCTGGGAAGTGACAGTCCATCTCTTCTAGATAGTTCTATTCAAGAGGCAAGATATACAAGTCAAGAATACCAGAGGATGGAATCGTTGAGATCATCTTAGAGGGAACTCTCTCTACTTCCTTCAGTGGAACTTTCCTGCTCAGCATTCCTGGGCCCTTATCTCCATTAAGCAGAACTCACTGCATCTGTTTCTCTTCTAGAGACCATATTAGTTGGAAACACTTCCTAGCTCGGAAGACTCTGGCCAAACCACACACATGACGTAGTGTGGAAGGTGACTTTGTGAGAGATGTCAACTGTAAAGAGAGACTGCTTTTCACTTCCCAGCCACCCCGACCCAAATAATCACACAAAAACTATATTAATGACAACACTGTTTGGCCAGTGGCTCAAGCATATTCCTAGCTAGCTCTTATATCTTAAATTAACCCATTTCTAGTATTTTATATTTTACCATGAGGCTTATGGTTTGTTACCCTTGCTTCTTGGGTGGCTACATGGCATCTGCTTGACTCTGCCTTTTTTCCTTCTCTATCTCTGCTGGATTTTCCACTGTGCTATAGTCTGCACTGTCACAGGCTAAAGCAACTTTTTTTTTATTAACCAATAGTAATAAAACATACTCATAGCCTACAGAGGGAATTCCCACATCAGTCAACTACATGCATACGTAGTCATATGAAGTGTTTGTCTATCTAGAAAAGAAAGAGGAAGATGAGGACAAGAAAGAAGGCTCCGAGGGAGAAGGGAGCCAGGAGGAAAAGAGGAGTGTGAGAATTCATGCCATGGTCACGGTGTTCCAGTTCATTATGAAGCAAAGTTACATCTGTGCCCTCATCGCTATGATGGTAAGTACGTACAATGGCCTACAGGGCACAGTAGGTACAGACCCCAAGCCTCTCACCAGGGTAGGGGCATCAGCCTTCCCTAAGCCATGACAGACATTTCTGGATATGTTAATTTTTCATGGGATCTTTTTATGTTATAGATTCCAAAATTTTATTGTCTTCACTTATCTTCTTTTCAAATGTTAATGTGTTTGTCTCAGATTAGCTTATCAGGTTCAACTGGCTCCTGTTTTGCAAACTTAAGAGGACACAGGGGTAGTGTTTCTAGAAGCTATTAAGGGTATTTAAGGCTGATGTGAGCTGCTTTTATTTCTCTCCGATTTGGATGAAAATTTATCCGTTATTTGCTATGGTCGCATTCTTCCTGGGACAAGCACCCAGCCATCATGGTTCTCAAGAGCTGCTTTGCAAACTTTCTATTTATGCAACCTCAGCTCTCTACCCTAAAATCTCCACCTCCAGCTTCAAAGTGGAAGATAAAGGATGCTCTAACCCCTCCTTTCCTTAAAACAAACTGTCTTGGAAGAGAGGATTTGTTTTGAGAAGCATAGTATCCTTATTTATTTGGAGGAATTATACTGTTTCTAAAGAATAATGTTGTCATGAAAATAATCCAGACAGTAGAAGCCATCATACTAAAATAACTTAAATAAAAACAGGTTTTATCCCTAATTTATTCTAAACAATAAAAATAACATTCACTTATAAAGCAATTTGTGCTTTATTTCAAATTGCTGAGAGGAGATGTGTGTCCTGTTTGGGCTTCATTTCTGTTCATTCTTGTCTGGTTTCCAGAGTCAAAACAAACTGTTAATACCTCCAGGGCTTGAGGATTATTTTGGTAATTCCTGGTGTTTAGGAATTGGATTGACTTCAGTTAGCCTCAGCCATATCCAGAACACTTTTCAAAGGGCCTTTTCATGAAAGAGTGCAGGGTGAGAGAGTCCGGAATCAGGTAGCAGGTTTCCGGGCATTAATAGTATCCCTGAGTCTGATTGGCAGTTGCTCTGCCAGCTGGCACTGAGATAACACCCCTAAATCTATGAGAACATTGTGGCAACAAGGAAAAGGCATCATTTGTCCATAGGATCTGACCTGTACGTATAGGACAGAAGCTGAGGTTAGTCTTTGCCCCTGCTGTTCGCTTTTAGATACCTAACATGCAGCTTTTTCAAGTAAAATGTCTAGTTTCTACCATGTATGCCTACTTGACATGAATGTTTAATCTCAACTTCGGGTCCTCAGAATTCCCATTTCTCACCCAGCTGTAGCCCACACTCATTCATGAACGTTTAACCACCAACTCCACATTACTGGGGACAGTAAAGTTGCTTTCATATTGCAAAGTAGGGTAAAGATAAAGAGATTTGGGCGAAAAGCCTTTGACTGCCCTAAGAGAAGCACAAAGCTAATGTCACATTCAGCCCCCTCTCCACCTCTCCTCCCTTCCCTGTCCCACAGGCTGGGATCTCTCTACTCTCCCTTCATCTAAATACTACTACCTTTTCTGTGTAGAGAACTTGGAACTCCCTAGAGTTTCTTGTACGCTGACAGCTGCCCTTTGTCCCCATGGCTCTGCAGGCCTGGAGCATCACCTACCACAGCTGGCTGACGTTCGTGCTGTTGATTTGGTCATGCACCCTTTGGATGATACGCAACAGGAGGAAATACGCCATGATCAGCTCGCCTTTCATGGTTGTCTATGCAAACCTGCTGCTGGTATTGCAGTACATCTGGAGCTTTGAACTTCCTGAAATTAAGAAGGTCCCAGGATTCCTAGAAAAGAAGGAGCCAGGAGAGCTTGCTTCAAAGGTAAATGAATGAAGAGACAGGGAAGAAAGATCAGTAGTGGTGATCATAATCACCGCAAACAAATTTTCACAAAAGTAGCCTCTAAATGATTGGGAAATAAAAATATGGGAGATCCAGACACCTTTCTTTTTGTTCAGAATTGGAAAACAGCCCCAATGATCTCCCCATTATCCTACCATCTCTGGTCCCTGTTTCACTTACATTTTGTGTCTGGGCCCTACCATTGCTCAGGAGCACAGGCGAGGCTTGAACTGACAATCCCTCTTCAACCTCCTGTGTGGCTGGGATAAAAAGCCCATCTAGTGTGACTGGCACAGCATGAATGACCACATGCTTTTAGTTTTGACTTAGAAATGACAGACTTTCTATTAAACAATTATAGTCATTATGCATAGTTTGTGTGACTCAGCATCTCCTAGGTTTATTTTAGTAAATTTTTCATAGCACCAGCTGTGTTACTCCCAGTTTCTCCTGCATCGGTAGATGTGGAAATAGGATTATACAATGTGAAATAGAAAATGCAACATAAACTATATGGAGTACCTGGAGAATTATTTGACAGCTTGGCAGTTTGTAAAATTCAGCTTCTTTGCATATGCCACTAGAGGTAATACCTTATTGTGGATTATATTTTCCTGTTTATGGTCTAAGAACATTCTAGCAGCAGAAATGAAACTATAACTGTTTTGAAAGACAACTTGTTGTAGACAAGGGTCTCCATTTAGATAACTGCTAACTTACCAAAGCTCCCGCGTGATGATAGTCATCAAAACACAAGATTACCAAGTCAGGTGGCCCAGGCCTGTAAACCCACCAGCTCAAGAGGCCGAGGCAGAAGAATCTCAAATTTGTCATCGCTACAGAATGAGACCAAGGTCCTTGGACCTTGGTAAGATCTTGTCTCAAAATGAAAAGCTATGATGGGGTGAAATATAGCTCAGTGGTCGAGAGCATCCAGAGCCTTGAGTGCAGTCACCAGTTCTGCTAAATAACTGAGTAGGTGAACAAATAAATAAATAGATAAATAAATGCATCCTACTGGCTAGCAGCATGTCATCTAGTGTATAGCTGTGAGCGAGACACAAAATGAGGAAGCAAAGAATGTGGCCTCCAACCTTCCCACTGCTGCACCCCAGAACATCTGGACTGAAGTGGTTTGCTGCAGTGCCAAAGTCGGACTCTTGGTCCCAGCCACTCTCAAATTCTTCCCTTCAGGAAAGATCCCATATGCTTCTAACTGTCTCTAACCTCTGACTACACATTGGCTATACAGGTTTCTTTCTCAGTTCTTGGCTACAGTGTATGTAGTAGAGACTTCCAAAAATGTAATGTCAAGTTTCGCACTAGTCCTCCAACGCTTGGCTTCGTTTGTCTCTGCATGGTTGTCCGGGTTTACAATCTCGGGTTTTAGTTGAAGGTGAACGATGATTGGCAGAGGTGACTTTGTCACGTGAGTAAAGATGCCAAGCGGTGCTGCCTCAATCCTAGATCCTAAATTCTTTTCTTTTCTTATTGGCAAATATTTACTGAAAACCTTTTCTGGACCCCAAGATATCACGTCACGTCCGTCCACTAAGAGGTCCAGAATCAGCAAAAACAGACAAATGTTACCAAGACACTGGGACTGTCACACGCTGCTGGCAGGGGTGGAAGTTGGTGTAGCAACTTTGGAAAATATACATTTGTCAGTTCCTCCAAAAGTTAAACAGGCAGCACGGATGGGAAGTGCCAGGCGTAGCTTTATATAATTTCCTGAGACAGGTGGAAACAGAGAGACATGGGAAAATGATATGAATGCTGATAGCTTAAATGTCCTCAACCGATGAGTATGTAAGCAAATGCTTGCATCTTCATAAAATAATATGCTGGTCCCTAGCAAAAAAAAAAAAAGGAATGAAGCACTGTATACATATTATAATGTTATTAAACCTACGACACTAAATAAGTACATCATTTACAAAAGAGTATGCATTACATAATTCTCTCTACTTAAATGTTCACATTTATGTAGGTAAGCACAGACAAGAAATAAATTAATCATTGGCTAGAACTGATATATAAAATAAAGGAATGACAGAAATTGTGCTGCTTTGGGAGACAATGAAAAGACGTCAAAATAGATTGCAGTAACTGTTGTGCGACCCTGGAAGTGGACTGAAACCCGCTAAGTAGACAGATTCTTGGACTCTTCTCCAGAGCCTCATGCATCCTAAGTATCTAGCCTACCTATGTATATATATATACCACAGTCTTTGAAACGTACTCTCTTGAAATGAGTAAGTTGTGTGGTATGTGAATTGTATTTCAATAACACTATTATCAAAGCCAAAAAATGTCCCTGCTATGATCTAGACAGCATATTCTCTAGAGGAAGGATCTCCTATATCAGGAGTTTATCCCCAGCCACAAGAGAATGTCAACATAGACATGCATCGGCTTAGAATTCTTTCTCAGGCACTGAGAAGATGAACAGAAATAACAAGCTGGTATGACATGAAAAACTCTTTTCCATATCTGTGGGATCTTCCAAATAAGGAATACCGAAGAGTCAAAGGAGTGTCATACAAGACACACTGAACTCTCTCAGGGGCTGGCTGTCAGGAGGAAGTCAGTCTCCGACACTGACCTTGAAGGAGTCCAGTCGCTGATATTGGTTTCTTTTTACCTTGATATTGTTCGTCTTCCCGGTGCCTTGAACAGTGCTCCACATGATCATAGCCTGTGAGTGACGCTCACGTGCAGAAAGACGTGTGCACTGTGCTCCCATGGCCACAGGGAGAATGCACTGCCGACATTGCTGAGTCCCCACCTCCCTGTTCTGCTTTCAGATTCTCTTCACCATCACATTTTGGCTGCTTCTGAGGCAGCACCTCACAGAGCAAAAGGCCCTTCAGGAAAAAGAGGCGCTTCTGTCTGAAGTCAAAATTGGAAGTCAAGAACTTGAGGAGAGGGGTAAGTGGGGGACTGGCTGCTCTTCTAGAGGGCACAAGTTTGATTCCCAGCATCATGGGGTAGCTCACAAACATGGCAGCTCCAGGTCCAGGAGACCAAATGCCTCTTCTGCCCTCTACAGACAGAAAGAAGCGTTTAGAGCGTACGTGTGAGCCCATAGGAACTACCTGTGTTGTTTGACTTTCAAAGAGGTGACTCCCAATGAAAGACAACATCAAATATCAGAGAAAATTTCTCTGAATACATACTTCTAGTGAGAATTGGAACCAATAAATTAACTTAAATCTTTGTATTTAAATTCTTGGCTGTTTAAAGATAGGAAAGAAACGAAGCGGGCTTGGGGAGCAAGGGAGAGGTAGTGATTTATTCACGGTGTCTTTAGATTTAGTCTTTCTGTACAGATAGACAAATCAATGAGAACTTGCTTTCTAATTCCCCAGGCAGATGAATAAGGATGTTTATTGTTTATAAAATGGGTTAGATGATATTAAAGAGGTATGGGGACTGGAAAGATGGCTCAGTGGTTAAAAATACATTCGGCTTGCGCAGAGGATGTGGGTTCCATTCCCAGCACCCACATTAGGCAACTCTTAACTGTCACTCCAGCTCTTGGGGGATCTGCTGCCCTCTTCTGGCCCCTACCAGCATCTGCTTTCATGCACACATATTCTCCTCTGTCACACACACACACACACACACACACACACACACACACACACACACACAAATAAACTAATTTTTTTAAAAAAATAAAAAAAAGAAGAAGTAGCACTATGTAAAGCTAAGTAGCATCAGTACTTGGAAAAGATGGGTCAGCAACCCTAATGCAGTAAACACACACACACACACACAGTACAGACCAGCAAATGTTGTTTGTTTAGTTGTTAACTTAACTTTGATCCTTCTTTCAGGAACCGTACTCCCTAAGATTTAAATGTGGTCTCTCTGAGCTTGTCTATCCAGCACAATAATTAACTCCTCAATTTTAGTAAAGAACGGTTAATTTAGTATAAACAATCTAACCCCCAATTCAGTTGTAGTTCCCTCACTCTGGGAAGCCACTGGTTTCTTAAATAAATTATTCAAATGTAGGTAGCTTTGGAAAGACAGTGCAGGGAGCTTTGACACAAATTCCTAGATACCAGCAGAGTTTAAATGAAGACGAGATTTTCCTTTCATACCAAGCTGTTAAATTATTTTAAGCTTATCTTAATAATATTTACAATTTAAACTTAAAGGAAATTGTATTTGGCCTTAACTCTTATGCTTTTAGTTAGTTCAGTCTTTGGGTTAAGACAGCTAGCATCGGTTGCATTCTTGCCCTGCTTATGTTTCTGTCTATTTTCATGAAACAAATAGAATCAGAAATGACCTCACAGTGTGATTTTGACTATTGTTACACTTCATCTTTCCACTGTCTGATCCTCGATACTGAAAATGTCAAAAGGGCTACAGAGAGATTAGCATACAATTCTATACAATTCTCTTTTCTATACTCCATTTTAAGAAAGTTATTAAAAAAAACTTATCAATTAGTTGTCTTATATTTTAGAGTCATCTAAAGTCATTTAATAACTCAGAAAACACATGCTTCCACGCCCACATACATCACCCGGAGCCAAAGCATGGCTGAAGCCAGGACTAACAACATGGTCTTCTGTTTAGACGATGAGGAACTCCAAGATATACAAGTAGAAGGAGAGGCCCCAGAGAAGGCAGAAGGGGAAGAGGAAATAAAGGAAGAACGGCATGAGCTAAAGAAGGAAGAGGAGGAGGAAGTGGAGGAAGATGATGACCAGGACATCATGAAGGTGCTAGGCAATCTGGTGGTGGCCCTGTTCACTAAATACTGGATCTACGTGTGCGGGGGCATGTTCTTTTTCGTCAGCTTTGAGGGGAAAATCGTCATGTACAAAATCATCTACATGGTGCTGTTCCTGTTCTGTGTGGCCTTGTACCAGGTAGGTAAGCATTATATGCCCAAGGTTTTAGTCCTCACACGTGATCTGTGAGTAGAGATGAGTTCTCTCTTAAAGATAACCACATTCTAGAAAATGATGACACTCAGAATCCTAAAGTCAAGAATGACTTAGAATCAATGGATTCTCTCACTGTTTAAAAAATTTTTATTTGATCAGTGTTTATAGCCCACAGCAATATATTTAAAATAATCTTGTAGGTATTTAAGTATATCAATCATTTATTCTATAACTGATAGTTCAAACCGTTGAATAATATTTATAAACTTTATGGAAGAGAACCAGCAAAAAAAAATACCAATATTAAAAAAAATCAAAGTCTATACATCTTAATGAACTCCCATGCAGTGGAAACAGCCATTCTGAAGCTACGGTCCTTCATGTTAGAGGTTACACATCTGTTATCCAGTGTCATCTTCTGCGCTTAAAAGTGAAAAACCCATGGTAGGGATAAAACTAGAACTAATTTAGACATTTTTATTTTAAAATCTTTAAAACTTAAAAATTTCTAAGTTTTCCAAAATGCATTGATTGGAAAACTGTCTTTAGATCATATTTTTAACATTTATTAATTTAGGAACAATGTGTGCATAACCTTAAGTAATTAAAGATTCTCTAGTTTGCTCATATTGCAGGTTTTGGGATCAGGAAGTGGTTTGTACGTCTGTGTGTGTGTGTGTGTGTGTGTGTGTGTGTGTGTGTGTGTGTGTGTGTGAGAGAGAGAGAGAGAGAGAGAGAGAGAGAGAGAGAGCGTGCTTTGGTAGTATAAACTAATGATATTCAAATGAGTTGGCCTCTTCACAGACTTTGTTTGACCTGATTTGAGAAGGGAGCCCAAGGACACAGGCTAGAGTAACTACAGTATTCTTTCAGGCATCCAACAGAATACCTGACAATCACCATAACAAGACTTCTTTAGATGTGATAATGAGAGTTCGAAAATGTTCTCAGCATAAATTGATGAACTCTTGAATACCTCTAAGGTATTCAAGAAGAAAGAAATGTCCTCTAATGAGTATTTTACATTTTTGCTCATTAAATACAATATTGAATTTCAAAATGAGTGCAGTTTACTGTAAACAACAAAACAAAAAACGTCATGGCTGCCATCACTTGTTCTCCTAGAGATGACATGTGTTGAGAGGCTTCTGGATACTGTCTAGGAACTCTGTGAAGCATGTACTCACGGAGGAGAAGCTGGTACCAGCAACTTATACAAAGCCGCAGTTAGCTATAGCTACTTCAGCTGCAGTTCTAACGCCTAGCAACACAACTACACTGCCAAAAGAACCTTAGAAAACCTAAAACCAAAATAAACTTCACTTCAAAGATTCCTATATGTATTCTGTGCCTTGCTTAATTAAGCCAGGTGCCTATATGAGCCTTTTTTACCCAGTCATTTTTCTGTATTCTTTTGTTTCCTTTACTTTCCATTGTCTGATTTGCAGGTTCACTATGAATGGTGGAGGAAAATTCTGAAGTACTTCTGGATGTCGGTGGTCATTTATACCATGTTGGTGCTCATCTTTATATACACTTACCAGTTTGAAAACTTCCCAGGCCTGTGGCAAAACATGACCGGCTTAAAGAAAGAAAAGTAAGGGATCCGTGCCTGGGATGGGATGGAGCGGGAAGGGGGGCACACGTGTCGATGCTCCCAGCGCGCATTGTTCCTGAAAACTCAGTGCACAATTTTAGGAAAACGTGATGCTGTGAAGGTTTGTAAGGTCTTCAAAGGCAAGTTAAAGAGCCCCCTTCTCCTGTGTTCCCTCTGTCAAAATCTGAGCTTGAAATGTAAGAAAAGGGTTCATGATGGCTGGCCGGTGAAAGATTTTTCATCCCCCTTTTAATGAAAGATGATTTTTAGTTATTCATCCCGTGGAAAACACAGCTGCCTTGTAAAATGTTCTGCCTTCTGCTCCCCGGATCAGCGCATAGTTTTCCAGCCTATGGGAGGCTCCTGGGTTCACTTCCCTCTTCCTGTGTCTAGGCTTAGACCCTAAGGAGTAGTTGGTGCCACAGAAAAAGGCATTCCTGCTGAGCTGCTGCCCCAGAGTGACAGGATTGCACGCAACCGCATGCAACAGATTAGTCTTTCTGATCTTCTCCTACAAATCCCTGGGATTAGTTTAGAAATCCAGCTATATCTGGGTCTTGATTTGAAAATGCGGAGGTGCCAAGAGATGTATGTAATTAGACAAATACAACCACACGGATTCATTATAGATGCTTTTTGAATACTTGTCCTGTGCCGGGGATACAATAGGAAACAAGAAAGGGAATTGAAGCTTGGGAAGCCAAAATGATCAATTTACTGTGATGCGTGTGAGAGCATTAAAACATGCATTAATCTGTGAAGGAAACCCTAGGCTGCTGGAGGGCTGCAGGAGAAGTAAATGGCATAGTGGTCTCACAATTCTTTGGAGAGGGGTCCTTTAAATTCTACCTGGTGCGCAGAAGCCAAACTGTTCTGAGAAAACTGGGATTTTGAGTCTAGGATGTGGGAGAGCATCCTAGGCAGAAAGTAGAGCAAATATAAAGGCCCAAAGGCAGGATAGAAATGGTTGTGGGTACAGAAGGGATGAAGGAAAGTACCCCCTCTGAGAGCAAGAAGACAGCAGAGAGGTGAGAGGGCACAACGAAAGTCCAGGCCAGGTACAGTAAGCAGTTTGTATTTTATTCCTGCTGGAATTTTCTTCAAATCTTGGAAGCTTCTTTGGGAATGGGACTTGTGGGGAGCAGGACCAAAGTCACACCACATGCACTTAGCAACTGTCCTGTGAGAAACACAGGATCCTCTTCAGACCGAGGAGAAGGAAGACAGGTAATGGTTGTGTGTGTGCTGGTGGGGGAGTGGTCCATAGGCACTTAGGGGGTGAAACAAGCCTGCAGGAGTATGCTAGAAACTGGAGATGCTTTCAGATGGCTAAACTTCGCACGAGGCAGACGTTGGCCCCATTGAGTGGTTCAGGAGAGGCCAGCGTGGAGAATGGCTTTGCCAAGGAAAAGAGGGAAGCCAAGGCCAATACTGGAACCACTGCTTTCCAGTAGGAATATGGGTCTGGTTGCATTGGAGGTCATGGTGCTGTTAGTCAGCAATTTTGTCTTGGCAACAGAAAGGTGGGTAAGTTCGTGGGAGGATGATTAGGTCAGTCAAGAAGAGCGCAAGAAAAGGTACCCCGACTGAATCAAATGGATTTCAGTTGCTAGGTACAGTACAAAGAAGGAGATGGGGCTGTAGGAAAAACCAGAGATGTGTGTTGCGTTGACCCCAAAACTATTAGAAGAGTCTGCATGTTCGAATACAAGAGAAGGGCAAAGATGTAGCTGCTGAATTGGTCTACAGGGACTGGTTACTGACTGCTGTGACGACGAGCTAGTTGGATTGGTACAGATAGTAGGGAGGAGTTATAAGTGGTCAAGGCAGAGAATGGCTGCTGTGGCTTGTGAGAGAGGCTGGCCGGAAGTGCCTCAGAGAGGTCCCTGCTTTTGTTCTGTCTCCTTCACAGGCTTGAGGATCTCGGCCTGAAGCAGTTCACTGTAGCGGAGCTGTTCACACGCATTTTTATCCCCACTTCCTTTCTGCTGGTGTGCATCCTCCACCTCCACTACTTCCATGACCGGTTCCTGGAACTCACAGACCTCAAGTCTATTCCCAGCAAAGAAGACGCCACTATCTACAGGTGAGCCAGTCAAAGGGGCGGCGTCTCCCATCTGCGCTGGTACCCGGCTTCAGTGGAAAGCCAAATCCAGCACTCTCACTTGGACTTTCAAGCTTGAATTTCTCACTGGTGTGTGTGTGTGTGTGTGTGTGTGTGTGTGTGTGTGTGTGTGTGTGT